CTTAGAAATTCTATCCAGCCGCCAGTCTCATGCATGATTTCTAATTATTTCCTGATAGCCACGTAACTCACATAGCTGCCACCTCATTAATATGCATAAATACTGCAAAATAAACACAAAATTCAAGTATTGGTGTATGTCCGTTCACATGATAAAATACGTGAGAAAACTTGAATAATACACCAAAATCATATACTCAAATATGTAAATTAAACTCCAAAATACTACAAGATTTCTCATGTATCATTGGCGTAAGGTCTCGCCCTCCTTATGCTGCATATTTATCAGCGAGCGGTACGTCTTTTTATGCTTCTTGGCACTCGCGAATTGATTAAAAACAAATAGTTGACTTTCCTTAAGCTATGGACAGAGCCAGCTGGTAGTTGATGGAACCAGTCTTGCGCTGACCCTTCAAAGTGGTTAGGAAAGCTCGACAACTAACTGCGTTGCTATACCTGTGTAACACGGTTATGTTATCAAATGATCTCAAGTGTCTTGCGGGGTCCGTTGAGCCATCGTAAGATAAGATTAGCTCTCGAAAGTTGCTAGGCATGTCTCCATCCAGGACCTCTTCAGAGAACGGATACCCATGGGATTGTAGAACCCTTTTACCTTGGACTCAAGCTTGTAGCTCACGCATTTGAGCTGCCAACTTTTCTAAGGTTAGGCCTCCAGGTTGTTGTGGAATGGTAGTCCGAGAAGTAACTGTCCTCATTTCATCTGCATGTGCCCTCTTGGCGCGGGGGATGTTGTTGAAGTATGGATTGTTGCTGGAGTAATTGTTGTCGCTGTGACTCGGGCGGAATTTGCCTATCTGTCTCTTGAGCTCGGCCCACTGCCTCCACAATAATCCTGTCCAGATTTGCCCTGGTCAGATGTAGGACCTGGTCGTCCCTAGAAGCCGGCAGAGGCAGACCACATCTTGGCGGGTTTCGTCCTTCTACGGAGACAACTTGCCGATCCCCTTGGTGATTAATCTGTTGCTGAGGTTGGTCAATTCTCATATTGGTCTGCCTATCTACCCCTCTGTTAGATAGATTTTCTCTAGGAGGATTTTGTCCACGTTCAAGGACAATGGTGTCAGTGATGGTTCAGGGGTTTCTGATAATGGTGTCAGTGTTGTGTCAGGTGTCGACAACCTCTCCCTCGGAGTAAAGATAGCTGATTGCGGCCATCCTAGTGGCGGACCCGATTTGATTGCCCTCTTTGTCCATGCATCATCCATGTCTTTCATCAAGTTTTTCTTATATTTATCTTCCGCCATGATAGAGATATATATTTTTTGTGAGAAAAAAGAACCAACCCCTTATAGTCGGTAAAAAGCTGAATTATTCCCACAGACGGCGCCAATTTGTTGCGCAAATTGTTCTTTGATCCGGTTTGACCCGCAATCCACTGATTTGAACAGCTTTGACGCTTCCCTGATGACCTGCAAAAGGCCGAGAGGGATCCCGACGGAAAACACTCAGACGCCAACTCAGTTCACATTCAGCAGTAATATGGCAATAAAGTATTTTGCGTGTATATGTGTGTTGTGTAAAAGTAATAACCTGTATCCTTTTTTATAGTCGAAGCTCCCTGTTATCCAAGAGACTCCTATTAAAGCAAGAGGTCTTCCTTTATCCCTCTCAACCAACCAGATCTTACCAAATCTACATAGTCCTTGATAGAATACACTTCTTCGGTTCAAGGGGCTCAGTTCCCTTCTCCTGAATGGCTCTAACACGACATCATCCCTACTCCTTTGAGGCCGAACTTCCAGATGCACGTTCCCTGAGGTTGTCACATCATCTTCAACCCTCGTTTGTTGTACTAAAAATGACGTCCTACCAACGTCGAGCCGAAGGGTCCTATATACCCTCCAAGCCGAGCTGGCTAAGAAAACTGCCACGTTATCCCCCAATAGGCACACGAACTACACCCATTCAACCAACTTTAGGTCAAACTTACAAGGATACCAACTAAATCAACCCCTTGCCGGTCTGACATAATCGGTCATCCCTTGGTCCGTTATCTTTGTGTTTAAGCTGCCGACCTAGGTAACTGCCGAGATCCATCCGAGCTTAGTCTGTGACATCTTTCTACGAGCCATTTTTTCTTAGGCTATATCAGGTAAAAGCTCCTAAAAGGAGACACAAACACCCGTAAAATGAAACTTCAAAATGGAGACATAAACACCCGCTAATTGAAACTCCAAAATGGAGACACAAACTCCATGAAGAAGACTGAAACCAGGCGTCGCTGGATTGACAAAACGCAAAATAGAAAAAACCAAACCAACAGATACCTAATAAACACATAGACTAAGATCTCCCCTTAACCTTTCAGACAAATCGCACTGCTACCCAAACCGACACCCAAGCCACCCCGCAACATAGAATCCCAAGAATCTCAATAGAGCTACAAATCGAACCTCGAACCCAAAATCTGGGGCCAAACTCTAATCGCCTTGGAAGATCTGGCAATGAGGCGATTCATAGTACAAATCTGAACTCCTATGATCTTCAACACTGGGGGAAGAGCCGCCAAAAAGAATGACTCTGACGGGACAAACCGTCACCGCCAAGGCCAGGGAAGATCACACAGCCACCGGGAGCCTCCAATTGGAAGTCCACCAAAATACCGGAGATGAGAATCGAAAGCGCGGACCCACCACCAGGATAAGACGAGAATCAAAAGCTTTTCTTAAATCCACATCCCAAACAACACGAAAATTAAGCGTTTTCGGGAAGAATCGGGCAGGGCCATGAGAGACGATCGGGCCTGCAGAAAAAGAAGATGCAATCGGGTTACTCTCGATCGGCGCGAGGCCGGATGAGGAAAAGAGGCACGACAACCGAACCCTAGCCGATAGGAGGCTGGCGTGGCCAGCGCTGCAGCAGCGACCCACATCTGCACAACTAAACGGGGCAGAAAAATGATCTTCGGCCTTGGTCTAACCGGAAATGAAGAACAACAGAAGAGTAATCGAAAAAGAGGTGGACGAAAAATGTTTTTGGGTCTCGATACAATAGGGGGAGGATGAGTCAAGAAAATTTGATTTTCCTCATGATGTCGGGTTACAGCTAACGTAATTCATTGACCAAAAAAATTAATAAAATCTATTAATAGTTGATTGTGAAACAAACCCATGACCATTTTAGTTATCCAAATCTATAGTTATTTATATGAATATGGTTTTTGATATACTTAATTTTCTCTCTCGTTAGCCCTTTTTTCGTTGCCGCCGAATCCTTCTTTCTCAGCGTGATTGTTGCCTTCCTCAGCGGGTCGCCGGACCCCTAGCCGGTGGTTTGCCCTTGGCAGCTGCTTGGCCCCGACTTTGCACCTCTCCTAGTCCATTATGCATTGGGGGATGAAGACGGTTGACTGCGGTGGTTCTCGCCGATTTCAGGTACACCCTTGGGTTCTTGTTCCATCGGCTTTCTTGATGTAGTGGGGCTGGTTGGGGTGTGTCGTCGGGGTTGAGTGTGGCTCGGGCCGCTTCCGATGTTGCGGGGCGGCCGGGGTTGAGGAGTGGTGTCTACCTCTCTTCTTTTCCTCTGTATCGGCTTGGGTTGAATTCTGAGGGCCCCAAGTGCGGTCAGATTCGGCTAGTGGTGTTAGGCGAGTCTGTGCCGGCGTTGGTGGGGATGGGGGAGCTTGCTGCTCCTCTGGCCGCAGGACCGGTTGTCTTCTTGGAGCGAGTCGGAGTTTATGATTTGGCTTCAGCTAAGCATTTCGGCAGTTTTGGGAGTGGTTATCTTGGACTGTAACCCACTCCTATGGGGTTGACCGTGTGATTGTTGGTGCTTCGTACAGGGCCGAGATGCCTCTTTCAATCCCCTTTTCCATGTGTCTCTGGTGTTGGGTCTGGGAGAGACCGGTGTTGCCGTTTTGGCTAGTGGTGTTAACCTGTTCGGAGCAGTGGTGTGGGGGGCGAGTCTGGTTTCTTTTGGCCTTTAGCGATGGTGTGGGTCTGCTCTCAGGTTGGGTTCTAGGCTTGGGTTTTGTTCCAGCTAGGCGGTTTTCAGCAATTTCAGGAACGACTACTCGGGCTATTAATTCTCCTTGGGATCGACTATTTGTCCGCTGGCTCCTGGGAAAGTGCGTATTTGTTAGTTGTAGATGTTGTGTC